TTATTTTATGGATATCAAAAATAGAGATTCTATAATTACCAACACATTTCATACAATCATTTAACGACTTTATGAATTGATATCATGTACTTAATTGACCGCTTCCAACTTTCTTTACACTAACTCATATGTCAATGAATATTGCGGAAAGAAATGAGAAATCAACACTGATCAGTCCAGATCTTACAACTTAATAAGTATTGCTTTCTACTCATACTGCAACAGTAGTATTGATAAGCTCAATTTTCAATGTTTAATTGCATTTAAGTAAATCACTAGATGAACCTTACAACTTGAACTTATTAGAAATAATCTTGAATTTATAACAAATCCATATACACTTGAAACAGAATAAAATATGTAATCCAATTTACGATAGTATTGTGAATTAGTAAGACAGATTTAAAACAAATTGTTGTGTGAACTTATCTAATCATTGAAATGAATCAATGTAATCTGATTTGTTCTATTGTGTGATATGTATTTATATACAATTAATTTTAACCTTATATTTTTTTAAGTAAATTTTGTATAGATTAATACTTGTCTATCTTTATTTGTCTGTATAAATTGATAGTTAGATTGTTTGTTGTTGTTGTTGTTGTTGGGCGCATGAAATATAATCTCAAAGTTACATTTAGTATTTAGCTTTTAAGTACTACTGTTTAACAATAAGGTTAATCGAAATTATTATATGCAAAATTTTAATATCGGATATATTTCATCTATTATTAATTGAAATTAAAAAAATACAGATTACAAATAAGTTCATTTTCTAATCATTAGAAAATTTCGAACTAGATGGACTTTAAGTTTATGTTGATGATGTAACAAATGGTATTAATTGTTGGGTAAATATGAGATCCAACCTAAGTGGTTTACAGTCAAACCAGTTTAAACATAATTGTCGATATGTTCGGGAATTGTGGAATATATTGAAACAATATGTATAAACAAGAGTAAACTGGAGCCAACTACGATTATTGAACGTATTTCTATAGTAGTACATAAACCTATAGAACTATACCTAGCCTTGCATTTTCAAAACTAACTCGCTGTAAAAATTGGGAAAAGTTTGTGATAGAACACCATTTTGTTACGATGAACGTATAATTTCAGAATATATTTTCGATAAAGGATTTAGCTAACTACTAACAAGTAGTACGGTATGGCATACTTAGGATTACAAAAATGAAAGTATTTATTTGGTTAAAAGAGTAACACAATTCATATTGATAACAATACTGTAAACATGAGATATCAGAGTTTCAATATCTGTGCCTTTTTTTCCTCAGTCACCATGACTGCTAGAAATGATAATCACTATATATAAACAAAGAATATGATGTAGAAACCGATCATGAGAAACACTGTTACCTGGTTTCTATAAATTCAAAATAACAGACGTCACTTGGGTAGAACTTTACTACTGCAACTACCTTAAAATTTTTGCACATTATAGATCTGAATGCATATAATTTAAATGGTTATAACTATAGAAAGCATTAAAACTAGGAGAAAGAAATTCACAATTGATAATCTGATAAGAAGTGATTAAGTCTGTAAGATTATTGACCAATTTAACGTCCCAATCATTTGCCATAACATTTGATTGAATTTTGATGACTTAAGTTATTAACTATTGCACTATGTTATTTCTTATTGTATTTTGATAGTGTTTTACTACGTTACGTATATTTGTTCATCAGAAAATTCAATTTCAGTTAAAATTAATTAAATATAATTAATAATTTCTAAAAAGAAAACTACATATAAAGTGGTTTTTTCTAAAAGAAAAATAGGCTTGACATTTAAAAAATGAACTTATAGAAATACATTAAGTCATTAACTCACTCAAACAACTGTATTGAATGAAATACTATGTATACAGGAATAAAATGTCATTCACTTACTTCGGCAGCCGTGCTACAGGATCGTAACACTCCGGTACCTTTGGCATGCATCTCAGCTAAATGATAGAAAGCCATTACATTACCCTGTTGTGACGCCATAGTGAAATACTTTAAAGCCAATTTGTGGTCAGTTTTTATTCCATGAGTACCTATGTGTTAAAATGGAGAAAGTGGTTTAATTTTATTTGCTTGAGGATGAAGTCCTTTTTAGGAAGTTAATTTTTGATAAAATGAAGTTTGGTCACAGAAATGGTTTTAGGTGGACGCGATTTCGAACATAGGATGATTTCTATCGATACATTATCTGAGAGATATGATTTTGTTGGTATTTCTGTGAATATATTCAACTTCAGACATTACAGTGCAAGAGTATTCCAAGGACTTTCAAAGTAGTAACATCCATATTCAGCCAACACAACTGTTATACCGAAAATAGCGAGAAAATGAGTCATCACTAGGATTTGTAATGTATCACGTTGCTGTAATTACAAGATAGTTAGTTCGATAGCGAATAAGTTACGTATAAAAACGATGAAAAGTCTTCTGGAAAAACTTTTTTGAGAAACTCTACGTTCTGTATGTCTACAAATCAACCAGGCATATAGGCCACTATAATAGTAGCAAACAATCGTTTCCAAAAGTTATCACTGAAGATTTTGCATGTTAATGATTACTGCCTTACAATAACAGTTTGAGTTTACTTTACAAGGAGGATGATGACCTAAAAACAATTCTCGTCGAAATCCCACAGAATAATAAGATCGCCGTACATAGAAGTTACATCATACGCCAAGATAGTGGGGCAATTCAGCATGTCGACCGCTTCACTTATCTCGGGAGTCTTATCAGTGCTGATGGCCTGGTGCCTGACGAAATCTCAGCTCAGATACAGAGGGCTCGATTGGCTTTCGTGAACTTGCGTCACTTATAGCGTAGACGAGATATCCGTTTGCTGACTAAAGGACGAGTGTACTGCACAGCAGTTCGCTTTGTCCTACTTTATGGCTGTGAAACATGGCCTGTAGGAGTTGAGGATATTCGTAGGTTACTGGTTTTCGATCATAGGCGTCTCTGAAGCATTGGTCGTGTATCTTAGGACAACCAAGTAGGCAATACTGTTGTGCTAAGTAAGGACAGCAGGTCAACAGATGAATTATTGAAACTTCATCAGTTGAGGTGGGTTGGACAGATGTTGCGTATGCCTGACCACCGACTGCCTCGTCGAGGTATGTTTTGCGATGTAGGAATAGACTGGAAGAAAGCTAGAGGTGGCCAAACCAAAACATGGCAGAAATCCACTAAGTCACTGACAAGTGCACTGCGCCATGTTGGTAGGTGTCGACTATCTGGTTGGCGTCCGCGAAATGATAATAATCAACGGTTAGAGACCCTGAATGACATAGCTCAAAACCGTTTGCAATGGCGCACGTGCATTCATTCTTTGTGTTCACTTAAATCCTAACCTTCTTAATTCCTCATCACATTATCTTCTTCTCTTTAGGTTTCATTCATTAGATTTTACTTCTTGAATAAAATCTTCGAACCCTAATATATCCGATTACTACTATGGAATTTGAAGTGGCAATTGCATCTCTATGATAATGTGGTTTGGCAACTTGAACTGATGTACGTATGTACAAAGTTCTATGTTGCTGTTGACTGGCTGAAGTTATTTGTAAACGCCGCAGTTTATTCTCATAATTAACCTATAATTAGGTTTGGTTGAAATTACGAAATAGAAGAATGTATAATATCACTCTAAGTAGTTTTAATTGTTTTAAGATTTAAACGCAGACTAAAAATAAATAACGAAACTTTTGTGACTCGTTTATCTAGGGCAATCAAATATTTAACCAGTCTTTTATGAAAACAGATGTTGAAAAATCAATACACTGAATGTTTACAAACCAAATATGAAGGTTGATAACCTTACCGTTACCTAAAAATAAACGACCAAGATGTAACTGAGCTTCAGGCCAGCCTTGATCTGCAGCCTTTAGAAATAACTCCATTGCGATGACTGGTTTAACTGGCAAACCGGCTCGGCCATATAGGTAGGCCAACGCTAAACCTGTTTGCCCAATTGGATTATTCTCCTCAGCCGATTTACGTAAATATTTCAAGGCTTTCATTGAATCGGCAGGTACAGCTGTGCTACCAACCATGTACATCTATAAAAAGTGAAAATACTTGAGTCACAAATCTCTGAGAATGTTAAATAAAACCAAAAAAATATGTTATTGAAGCCAAACACAAATGAACTTGGATAATTTTTTTTAAAAAATGCTAACAGTGATCAAAGTTACCCATACACTGGCGGAAACTCTAACGTATATGCATTTAGCTAAATAAGCTCAAAACTTCCTAACATTCTTCGGTTTATCTGGAAAATTGAGTGCAAGAACATCTATATAACCTATACCAAGGTCTAATAACAGTGTAAATAAACATTCAATGAAAACGGTCATTTGAAACATAGGCTTCGGTTAGGTGTATACATTTTATATCAGTTTTCGTATATGGAATTAATTACCAACACAAAGCGCATATAGCAAAAATGAAGAGGTGATCAATTTACTATATGGTACCATAAGATGAATAGTTATATTAGTTCGTTAAGACAATATATCAAGTCACTATCACATATGGCTCAGAATAAAGACGTATTTCTGTCGAATGCATTGTAAGAACAGTGAGGTTTACTTTTGAGACTAACGGTATCTATTTTAGTTGCTTTCATGTAAGTTATCCTTTTACGTAATGCTATTTGTATTTCTATGAGTTCGTATTATCACTATTACCTACACGCAATTATTGGTACAGATGCACCCAAATATTTACACGCCACACGAATCATTAAATTTTTGTATGGGCTAGGATACTGTCCAGGTGCCTAAACCGAAACTGGTGGTTTCCTTAGAGGGCCACTCCCTAACCCTATGGTTCGGAGATGCAATCTACAAAGCAATGGAGTACCGTCAGGAGATGCAGTACTAAGACAACCATTGACCAACGATAGGTTCATACACTATTCGTCCCATCAAGATCCTGGAGCCCATATGCAGCATGGGCTTAGAACTAGGGTGGATCCACCATACCCAACAACCCGGTTTAAACATCGGATATTCACTTCCTATCCTTTCAACTTCGTATGTAGCACCCTGACCACGAGAAGACAGTGAGTAGGACTGTTTCTCTGGCAGTGCCTATGTATGCATGGCCACGCGAGGGCATTTCGAGAGGGAAAGCAGACTCTCCATATTCAGTCGTACCCGGGATTTTGGGGCAAGTTCATATTGCATAGTGAATATTTTGCTATTGTGAATAGTAAAACACATAATCGAACAATATTGTTTTCAAATAGATCGTCACCAGACTTTAATATACATGAATATTCATATGAAAATGTTAACCCAATCAAGGCAATTTGAGTCCATAATCACAATAAATTGCCTTGAATGGTTTAACATTTTCGTATAAATACTCACGTAAATGAGAGTAAAACCTGATGATGATCTAACTGAAAACAATATTGTCCTATTATAAATGTTGTGATATAATTGTCAAACTTTTTCTACTCCGAATAATAAGAAAAATAATCTTACATAAGTTCGCTAAGAGACTGAATACCGTTTTAAATTTGCTAAGTGTTAAAACACAACTAAACTGCTCTAAATTTTAAAATTTCTCATCTATGTATTCACATTTAAGTAGAGTTCCACACCACCACAACCTACTAGTTAACGTAACTTTCTACGACTGGATAGGTTAACAAGGATCCATATTACCTAATATCAAATGTGGTGATGCAATTATTTTTTTTAAAGTAAGTCTTAAATGTCAACCTCTTGAAATATTAAATTTATTGAAAAAGTATCACAAGTAATAATAGCGAGACAAAGTGAGATATTCCAGTTATTCAACCAAAGACAATGTATAGCTTGGCATATGTGTGTATTAATTCAGGCTGGCACAGTGAAATGATGTTATCAAGGCAAATGTCAAAGTATTAAAAGTAACGACAGTATTAGTGATAGTAGAAACAATTAAGCATAAATACAATCAATGAAGAAAAATTAGCTCGCAGAACAAAACAATATTAAATAATCTTAAAACTCAAAAAAGACAGAGTGCATTTGAACAACCAATTCTGAACTATGCCACTCAACGCTTCTAACCGTTGATTATGAAGATTTTAATTAGGTATTTTGGACCCACCTACGAGATTTTAATATTAACAAGGACAAATTAGTTAATCAATACTAAGGATGATAGCTTGAAAAAAAAACTAATCGCAACAGTTATACATACCTCGCCTAAATAAGCCATAGCTATGGCGCTTCCAGATTCAGCAGCCAGATTGAAGTAATAAAAAGCTTTTTCATGATTCATTTCAACACCATGTCTACCATAATAATATAATTGACCCAATCCAACCATGGCACTAACATTCTTTTTGTAAGCCATAAACTGATAATACTGGAACAGGTCTTCACTAATTGTGAGATCACCACCATCTAAACTGCCCATTACATCTATTTCATCTAGAAGACGAGCACGTCTGACCATAGGTCCAAGAAGAGTTGGACCACCAGATTCAGAGCGTTCAGAAACTTCTTTAAAAACAACTTGAGCCACGCGATGATAATGTGTTAGTGCTGCTTCACAATCCTCCTCAACACCAACACCGGTCCAGTAACGATAGCCCTAAACCAAATTACAAAAATGAAAAACTAAAATTATTCATATATTGGATGTAAACAGACAAATAACGATGACGCAATTCATGCCAATCGCTACTTGCTAAATCCTAGAATTGACTTTGCAAGCAAATCAAAGCATGAATGATTGAGAACAAGAAACATTAAGGGTTCATTGTAACCATAACTTTGGGTATTATGAGGCTCTAGATACTGCAATGATTGTTTATTTTGCGATAGAATTTTCAAGACCGGTAGAGAACTTATGATTACATGTATCGTAAGAACATTTAAATATTAGTTTTCAAATACCAACAGAATGCATGAATGTAAAATTGTGAAATTAAACGGCTATCAGCAAATGAAGTCAATTTAAAGGAAGTATATTACTTACTAAAGCCATGTCAGCGAAAGTATCTCCCCCAAGTGCCGAAAATGTTAGATATATCAATGCATGTGGAATACTTGCATTAACGTGTAATCCAGATGCATACAAAAATCCCAAACCAAACTGACCGCGAGGGTTTCCTTCATTGGACAGCTCTTCGAATGCAGTATAAGCGCTTTGGAAAGGATCTGAAGTATAACCTCCAAGCAATGTCATCATAGCGACCTGTTCCCTTGCCTTTGTGTGTCCTTGTGTGGAAGCTTCGCTCAAAAGTTCCAGTGCACTGTCCAACAGGGAACACAATATGCAACATGTAAAGCGCGTTTCGTAAAGAACATGATATAACATGAAGTACATATAAGGTGTTAATATGAACTTCAAATGTAATACAAAACAAATAACCAAGCATCGTAAACAAGTAATGCAAAACACATACGTTTTATCAGCATATGTCTTAGGATTTTCTGTCTCCAAAATACTCATAGCTTCTTTATACAAACGTTCAGCAACACTTGGTTCTGAATTTTCATGTTCATCCGAAGACGGATGATCTCTTTCGGCCGTGTTTTTATCTAAAGAAGTTACAATTTGTATTATGGCTTACCACTAACCGATGGAACGCTTTGTGGGGTAGAGACATCGTGAGTAGTTAAATCATGTTCAGATTCATCTACTAACTCTTGGTCTGGAAAATTTTAAAATAGTGGGAAAACATTTACCTTCATCCTTTATATCTGAATCAGGTGGGTCATTTTGCGATTTTGAGTCAACGCTTACATCATCCCTATCCTTTGGAATTTGAGGGAACACTGTTTAAACATAATTGAGATAATTTGAATTCATTACATAGATCTGGTTCGAGAAGATTACGTAGGAATCTTTCAACAGTTTCCGGATCATCGAAATGCTCTAAATTGCTTTTGATCTTATTTTTATCTTCAGTTATTGGTACACGAGCATTGTCTAGAACAGATGAGAAATAAATCTTAACTCTTAAAACGAAATAATAATTTTCTGGATTGTTTTTGGAAATGATGTGAAAGTGAGGATGTATATGTGGAACAAACTGTACACTATGAAGAGAATTGTAAGTTGGTCATTTAAGGGATGTAAGGAGAGCAAATTATGTAAAACGAGTGAAACTAGTCAAAAATGAGCATCTACATAGAGAGCCAACGAGTTAGCACAAAACAACAAAAATAAGCAGGCGACAACACGATTCTGCACTTCTTCCATCTGCACTGCTACTTTGGGTTTCGTCGAGGCGTCCGATTGCTACTTATATCACGCTCACTTTCCTCCTTTACAAGCCAGAATAAGGAAGAACCTCTAGGTTTTTAAATACAGAGTAAATATCTAGAGCTTAGAAATCTCAATGGTTTTATTACTACAGATGGTAACTCGATATTTGATAAGTAGCATCAAGCGGAATAACTTTCCAGAGGGTTATATTGAAACTAGAATGAAGCGAACACTTTATCAGGCATAGGAAGTGGTTTTAAATCCTCAAAGACGTGATTCTACTAAATAAAACAAGTGCGTCGAGTGTAACATCGTGTAAACTAGAAACGCATCAGCAAACTTTAACTATAAGGATGCTGTGCAGAGAAAGTTGGGTCGATGGGATTAAGGTTTAACAGTAGCGGACGGATACATACACTCCTTTTTTAATCATCTTGCTTACAAGTTAGATTAGGTGAGATTTTAAGTCACTAGGTATATATACCACAACATCTAGGAGTGATGATATATAATTATCTGCGATATGTAACGATATCAACTACCAATGCGCGCTTTCTGTAGATCCAGGTGGACAAAAAATTTAATTGTGTATAATAGTGTGCAGCTAAAATCTTTGTCTACATATATACTTACCACTTTTCCTCTTTGGCTTTAGGTCGTCCGATAAAATAAAAGCAGAGGAAACCAAAAGAAGTATTACAATTCTGATGAATAAGTGTGGAGAACTAAAAGGATGACTTGGAAAACTGAAGGAAAACATTCTCCGTAACAACCAAAAAACGCGCCGAAGGTTGAAACGCGTGGGTCTTCTATTCGCTGAATAGCTCAAGGTCATCTAGGAAGCAGCGATACAAGGTAAAACATGACGACAGTGCTAATTAAGGTAATACGTGACATTCATGCTCTGTTATCAAATAAGTAATCCTTGATTACTAAGAGGTTACCGACATTAGCTTTAACAAGTACTGAATACCTGGGATATGTCAAAACCTAACTTCTCTTGAATTCAGCTTAGGCGAAATAAAGAAGGATTTGAAAATTTTGGAGTAATGGAAATATGGCAACAAATGTACTTTATAAGCGTTATCGACCTGTTCTAATAACACCAATTAAAGTTGCCTAGCAACAAGTATTAAGAAGAAGAACAATTCGTTTGAACTGGAGATCATAAATGTGTGGAGAATTTAGATATCCATGCTGAATAGGATGGAACAGTGACAGAGAGACTATCTAGAGCCACAAAAAACCACACGACAATGTTGTTTGCTTTTGTACCTTCTAAAATCTCAGTTAACCTTCGCTTATAAGGCTATCACCAAATCCTAAAAATGGGCTGGGTGAATGGGTTTCAGAGATTTACTGTTATACACAAGGAAACTATGTACTATCTGAATGTATTTCCGTACCTATTCAGATAATAGAATGGAAATATTAAGAAGATTCACTCTTAAAATTTTTATGGCTACGAGTAAACAAAAGTATTTGTCTCTTAGTTAAGATGAAGAATAAGTTGAGTCCAGTCTTCTAGGGGATTTCTGAAGCCTGGGACATAATATTAAGAGAACAGTAAAGGGCACTAAATAATAATAAGTAATAGTTAACAAGACACAAAAACAGATGTCGAGTAACGCCAAACGCATGTAGCCTGTTTATATGTTTCAACGAAACATGAGAAGACCCAGAGGAATCAAAGAAACGAACGCAGAGAAATAATCTTCGACATGGTTTTTATCGTGAAATTTCCTACGAAATAAACTTTGTGAAATCTCAGCAGGGTGCACAATTGAAGTTCATGTCTCAGACAAAATCTAACAGTTTTATACTTAGAAAGAGTATCTGTACGGCCATTACCAACAGACCAGCTTTTGGGGACGTTAGATCCCCAGAACTCGCTTGGTAAATGTCTTGATTTTAGATTTTATTCATGGGCTGATGGGCTGACCTTGAGATTGCACTACCCAGCAGTAAAATCAGTGGCTGTGATTGGTTGATGTGTTATTTTAGTATGTTATTTTTGTGACTCTCCCAAAAACATTTCTATGAGGTATAAACAAATGTGATTTGTTTGCTTGAGATCATTGTATTTCCTGGGTGTTTGTAGGATACACTTTCTATGTCATATCAGGACTTTTCTTCATTTAGTTGGGGCAAAGGATCACAGTAGCCTACCGCATCACTGGGTTATTGTCTCGTTCTCGTTTATCAGCTAAGGTGTACTCGTAATAGTTTCCGGCATATCAAGTGACGAGCATAACACCATCATTCATTAAGCGACAAGGCCTCATTTGTTTAGGCTGTACGTGCAGAGGCGGAAACCGTTGTACATATAGCGAGATTATCTGCATACTTAACAAGTGTTTTCTGCATAACAGGTCATGCAGGAAAAAGAAAGGAAAAGAGGGAGGAACAGCTCCTTGTGACTTGGTAAAGCCGTCGAACGGTATTCTCCAAGCACAGTAAACTGATCTCTTCTCTACAGGTAGGCTATCCATCTGTATGTGTTGACTCTGGCAAGCTTGTTCAGTGCTTCAGGTCTTGGTACATGCATAATCGATGTTTAGTCTATAAATCCGCTTTGAAATACTTCTTACCCTGTGCCAAGTTAAACACTAATTTTTGGTGCAAAATAAGAATAATATCTGGGGTACTTCACTTACATTTGTAAGCGAATTGATATAGATGTAGATCTTATGTAAACTGAAATGTAAGCATCAATGGTTCCGGTTTGAGAAAAAGCTAAGTTATTGTATCACCAAAAATGTCCTTTGGTTTAGGGGTAACTTTTTATAAAATGCATTTGGAAAGACTCATGATAAATGCTGGCACATGGATGATATAGGACGTCAGCACACTTCTTACTTCGTCAGGTGGAAAGCACTAAGAGGAGTCAGTTGACTAGTAATGTTTCAGCAAAACCTCGAACACAACTGCAGGATTTAATTTGTCCCACAGATGTAATTCTAGAACGGTAAACACAATATTGGCGAGCACAGAGCCTATGGGAAAGCTATAGTTAGAATAAGACCAAATTTGCTTTACACTCTATCTGTTTCTAAACATAAAAACAATTAGATTAGTACAATAAATAAGGAAATTACAATTATCAAGTAAGATGAGCAAACGTACCGACCAATATAGCGTGTCTTATGGAAATGAGTAAAGTTATGAGTCACATCAATATAATAAGATAATAATGTCAATCAATTTGTAGGTCATTTACAACAAAGAAAGTTTACAGACACGTCAGATCAGATCACGTGGTGGGCGCTTAAACCACAATTTGATTGGTTAGTTATGACATAACTACAATTAGTTATGAAAATAACTAACAACAACTCATCTTCAAACTTGTAGATACAGGAAGCATTATATCAGATAACTGATGTACAAAGGATCTACGTCGCATAGGATGCAAATACATACTGTAGATATTGTGATGGACCAAAAAAAATCATAATTTCACCATATCTCAGAGATCAGAAATTTGCATTTCTGATGTCTCAATATTAAATCTTAGAATGTGTCTTGATCGTAATTGGTCTTTCTCAGCCCACCGACTTAGCTGTTAAAATACTTTTTTATAGAAGAGGAGATAAAGAAAGTCAGTGTAAAACAAAAAACTTCCAGACCAACCCATAAACTATTCTAAAAGATTCAAACAGAGGACAACGAAAGTAACAATAGCTTTTAACCGTAACGGCTCATACGATTACAGAAAAAATGTCTTGCTGATAACTACTGGATACGGCTTTGTATTTAGCACTTCTGAGCAGAACTTGAGGGAAGCAGCTTAATATGAATTAATTCAAATGATAAACACTGACGGGGATGTACATCACAATGTCACAACGGAGAAGGTACTGTTTCTGATAGCGGCCACAACTTGGTTTCTTTGGATTTGACAGGATGAAGAGACTTGAGCAGGTAGATTACACTAATAATTTGATCCAAAACAACACAAACGCCGCAGAAATAGATGAGAAAGTCTTTGTGCTTACATTATTAGGGTGAAATAGTATTCATTGATGATCCTGCGGAATTCATTGAGTCGAGAGCTACCCTTATCCTTTAACTTATAGTGAAGCCGCTAGTTACACCCAAAAAGACCTGTGTGTACCAACAGTCGAGCAACAGTTGGTGAGACTTCAGAAAATTGGTGTAACTGAGCCACCAGATGTTTAAAGTGGATCATTTCACTAGTGATAGCCAAGAAATCTTGAATTACTGTCCGCCTGTTTGCAAATAATCCTACTGGTCTAAGTGAGTCTCTGGAAATCTTTTCAAGCATCCGAACGGGTGCCGGTTTACCTTCGAAACTGGATTTATCGGAATCCCACTTACAAAGGTGATGACCAATACACACACTTATATCTGTTATTCCTAATGGAGCGTAAGAGGCCAAGCAGAATTCTACAAACTATTATATACTCGGCCTTCTCTTCAAGTTCTATCCGGTTGCGGTTCATTCTTTCATTGTCTGTCTCCTAATACCAGAATAGCGCATTCTTTGATCTTCCTCTTTTATTTTGGGCTTTAGAATTACAGATGAGGGCTTATCTTGTGACGTAGTTGGGTGCTTTCCTGAGTGTTTTCTATCCACCTCCAATGCTTCCTCCGATGAAATTGGGTTTGTTTTACCCCACAAGTAGGTTGTTGCTCATGCTGTTTCGTCGATGATCCGAAGTATTTTGCGTAGACATTTATTTATTAATACGTGATGATTTCCGAGGTTCTCCTAGTTTCTACCCCATATAATAGAACTGCCTTGTTATTTACAGTGAAAATTCTGACTTTGCTGCTGGTTATTAGTTGTTTCGAGTACCAGATGTTGTTCAATTGTAGAAATGCGGTTATTGTTTTACTCATTCTTGCCTTCACATCTGTCAGATCGTACTTCCTCATCAATAATGTTGCCTAGGTATGTAAAGGTTTCTACCCACTTCAAAGCTTTCCCATTAAGTGTGATTTACTTGGCGCAAATCGTGTTGTATTCGAAGATCTTGCTGAGGCTGCTGTTACACTGGCGATCTCCTGTATTTGTTGTTGCGCGTAGGATATAAGGGATAGATCATTGGTGAGGTACAGATCGTCCAGTTGCATCCGATCTGTTCACTGTATTCTGTGATTCCTCTCCGATGTTGACGCCCTCGTAATCTAGTCGACCACCGTGAGAAAGAGAAAGGATGAGAGTTAGCAACCTTGTCTGACACCGGTCTTCACTTGGAACCCGTATGTGGACTATCCTCTATACAGGATCCCGCAGCTTAACTCATAGAAACAATTCCATATGACGTCGAGGAAGCCCTCGTAATCTCATTCTGTCCAATGCCTTCTCGTCACTAAACAAGTTGATATACCGTGATGCATTCCATTCAACCGAATGTTCCACAATGATCCGTAGTGTCGCGTGCGATTTGGTCGGTATACGATCGATCCTTACGGAATCCAACCTGTCGATCTCGAAGTCGGGCATCTACTAAGTCCTTCAACCTATTTAACAATATCCTGTTGAAGACTTTGCCTGATACTGAGAGGAGTGTGGTGCTTCTGCAGTTCCCACACTTGTTGAGATCGCCTTCCTTTGGAATCCTGATGAGGTGTCTTTATTTCAAGTCTGTTGGCACTTGTTCTTCCCCCAAATTCTGCTGAACAAAGTGAGCAACATTGCCTCAGCTGGAATGTTGTCTAATACCGCCGCCTTGCCGCTCTTAATTTGTCAAATATTTATGCTGATCTCTTC